TGAATAAGGAAAGTGAAAAGAAATTAAAATTGAAAGACTAAGGAGTCATGAGGGAGGAAGAACATGAATTCTATATACTATTTTCCCCTAGTGCTAGAGTTTTGGAGTTTTGTGTGATCGGTGAACTTGGTCTTGGCTGGATGTTCCTGCTAATCTTTGGGGGGAGGGGCCTACTGTGCTGATTCTCAGTTGTCTTTGCCGGAGGCAGAATTGTACCGCCCTTGCCAGGGGCCAGGCAAAGTAAGTAGCTCCAGATTGCTTTATGTGGCTTTTGTTCCCTGAAGGCTTTCCACCCGCTTTAGTGGATGAGAATGACATTGGCGGCCTCCCAATCTCCAGCCCCAGAGCTGAAAGACTGCCCCCTCAATCCTCAATGTATCCTTAGGAAAAAGCAATCACTCCTGTCTCCCTGGTCTCTGTCCGCGCTCTGTGCTCACCTCAGCCTGTGACCAAACATTCCTATCTCAGGCATGGCTGACCCCATTTCAAGTCCCCAAACCCTGCAGACTCCTGTGGCCCATACCCATGCTGCTCCTCCTGGGGGGAGGGAGGGAGTCTCACTCCAGTTCTGCCACTTGCTGGGCCCCTGTTTGCAAAGCAGTCGCCAGACTGTGTGGGGTTCAAGGTTTATGGCAACCTCGAGCTGAAAGCGCACACCTGGGCTCATTGATTGCAGCCAGCTGCCCCACTCCGGTACGGGGAATTTCACTGGACTCAGGCACTTTCATTCTTTCTGTGACCCTGGATCCTGAGACCACACTGTCCCAGCGAGGGTTCCACCCCCACTTCGCCACCTGAGTACCTTTCAGGCACAGGGACGTCCCTTACCAGAGCAGACTTCTAAAAGTTCTGATTTTGTGGTCTGCTGCTCTGTCACTTTCTGGTAGCTGGCTGATGGAGGCTCCTTCCTCACGCTGATTATCCTCCCATATATCTCCTTGGATCTACGTCTCCTCACCTCCTACCTTGCAGGAAGTGGTCACTTTTCTGTGTGTCGAGTTGCAGGTATTGCTTTTCTTAGATCTCCTGTTGAGTTCACGGGTGTTCAGAATGATCTCTCTGATAGCTAGCTGGCTGAATTCCTGGGACCAGACCAAACTAAGGTCTCCTACTCCTCCACCATCTTGCACTCCTATTATTCTTGTTGCCATGGACTGAATTGTTTCCCCCCAAAATGCACGTGTCCAAACCCAAACCCTTGGTGTGCCGGTAGAGAAGAGCCTAGAGGAGGTGAGAAAGGTTAAATGAGGTTAGTAGAATGGGGCTCCAATTCAAAGGGTTAGTGCCTTTAGAAGAAGAAGGAGGAGGAGGAGAGGGAAGAGGAGGGGAGGCGCCAAAGCTCACTCTCTGCCACAAGAGGACACAGGGAGAAGATTGCCATCTACAAGCCAGGAAGAGGCCTCACCAGAACCCAACCGTGCTGCCACCCTGATATTGGACAACCTCTTGGACTGTGAGAAATAAATGTCTGTTTTGTAAGCTGCCCAGTCCGTGGTGTGTTGCTTTGGTGGCCCAAGCTGGCATGGACATTGCCGGTGTTGGTGGCATCCTTATTAAAGTGCAGTGTTCTTGCAGGAAGATTTTCCCCTTCCCCTGCTGCTCTCCCTCCTGACCCCTCCTCCCACCCTCCTCCTGCACCCTGAAAATCCTTCCTCTAGGCCTGCCCCTGGCAGGGTCTGCAGGCGCAGAGCTAAATATGGCCAGCAGAGGGCGCCAGCTGCCGGAGTCCCTAAGGTTGACTTCCAAGTCCACCTACCTTCAGGAGTTCCAGATGTCAGATCTTGTCATTTGAAAGACTTTCTCCCTTCTGTTCCTAATTTTGTCCTCTGGAGCACAGATTTTAAATTTGAGGTGGGGTTCCAACTTCATTCTTTTGTGTGTGGATCTCCTGTTGTCCCTAAAGGATCTGCTGAAAATCAATGTACCATGAAAGTGTGGGTTAATTTCTGTACTCTTGATTTTATTCCCTTGATCAATTTCTGCAAAAAAAAAAAAAAAAAAAAAAAAGCCAGCTGGCATTTTGATAAGGATTGTTTGAAATCTATAAATCAATTTGAGAAGTATATCAGAACTTCAAAAGGCAAAAGGGGCCCTATGGAGGAGCAGAGGTTCTTGGAAACAATCCTCATTGTTGGATGATAATTCCAATTGGATGCCCCCCATCAGAGCTGTCCTGACTCAAGCAAGAGGACCCCCACCACTGGTCACTGGAGAGCAGAGGCGAGGTCCTGGCAAGAAAGCCCAAGAGACAGAGGTATCCCCTCATCAGTCAGATGCCAGCCTGGGAAAGGTGCCCAAAGCAGCTCCCATCCCAGCAGCTGTATCAACTAAACAGCTATGGTGATCGTAACTCAGCAACTTTTACCAACTGTACTGTCTTCCTCGTATGAGCCCTAAAGGTGAGGATATTTATTGCTACAATGATGTATTCGTAAAAGATCAGAAACAACCTACGTGTCCATCAGTGGAGTGGAAGTATGGCTTACCTATACCACGGAGAAGTATGCAGCCATAAAAGAGATTGCTGAGAGGAACCAGTGCGTATCATACACTCTTGCTTTGTTTAAAGGAGAAGTAATATATGTCTGTATATCTCCTTGAAGGGGGCTTACTTTTCTCTGTGTATTTCTTTCACATACAAATATATGTGATTTTGATATCATTAGTTTCTTTTGTCTCTGACGGAAATGAGCACTTAAAAAAAGATTTTATTTATTTATTTGAGAGAGAGTGAGAGAGATCACAGAAGGGGAGGGAGAGATAGAAATGTGGGGCTTGATCCCAGGACCCTGGGATCATGACCTGAGCTGAAGTCAGATGCTTAACCGACTGACACTCAGGTGCCCCCAGAAATGAGCACTTTGGATTAAGACCTTGTTCATCAGATTAAAGCCACATTGTATTTTCTGTTTATATTTCTCAGTTATGTTTTTTGTAACTCTAGTACAATATCACAAAGAGGAGGCTGGTATGGCTACTAGCCACCCATCTAATTCAGATCTTCCTGGGTTTACACATAGTTACCAACTGTGTTCTGTGCAATTTTATCAAGTGTGTATATTCATGTCACACATCGGAGCAAGATACAGAACATGTCCGTGACCAGAAGAGTCTCTCACATTGCCCTTTTATGTGCTCACATACCCTCCCCAACTCCAACCTCTGGCAATCACTCATGTGTTCTCCATTTCCTTAATTTTGTCATTTCAAGAGTGTCATATAAATGGAATCATACATTGCATAACCTTTTGGGATTGGCTTTTTTTACTTGGTGTAATTCTCTGGCTATTCACCAAGATTGTTGTGGGTTCCATAGCTCATTCCTTTTATTGCTGAGTAGTATCTCATGGTACAGGTGTACCATGGTGGGTTTTTATTTTTAACTATTAACCTGATGAAAGATATTTTGGGCTGTTTCTGGTTTGGGATTTTTACAAATAAGTCTGCTGTGAACATCTGTGTACACATTTTTTTTAAAGATTTATTTATTTGACAGACAGAGATCACAAGAAAGGCAGGCAGATAGGCAGAAAGGCAGGCAGAGAGAGAGAGAGGGAAGCAGGCTCCCCGCCAAGCAGAGAGACCGATGTGGGACTCGATCCCAGGACCCTGAGATCATGACCTGAGCTGAAGGCAGCGGCCCAACCCACTGAGCCACTCACATTTTTATGTGAAAACAAGTTCTCATTTCTTTATAATAAATGTCCAGGAGTGAAATTATTGAGTCTAGTGGCAACAGCATGTTCTGTTTTATAGGAAAAAGACAAATAGCTTTCTTGAAGGCAGTGTATGAATGATTGTTTCTCTGCATCTTTGCCAGCATTTGTTGCTGCCATCATTTTTTTTCTATTTTAGCCATTATGATAGGTGTGTAGTTTATGTTCTTTTATTTTTTGGATTTAAAAAAAAAGTTAAGAAATCTCTACACCCAACATGGAACTCAAACACAACCCCTAGATCAAGAGTCGTATACTCCACCAACTGAGCTAGCCAGGCACCACTGTAGTTGTATATTCTTTTAAATTGAAATTCTAAATATGTGGATATTACCTAAAACATCATACTCAAGGGTGAGAGACTGAAAGCTTTCTTCCTAAGATCAGGAAGACAACAAGGATGCCCGCTGTACTCACTTCTGTTCCACATAGCCCTGGAAGTCCTAGCCACAGCAATCAGACAAGAAAAAGGAATGAAAGGTATCCAGGTTGGACAGGGAAAAGTAAAACTGCAGATGACACTATATTCCATGGAGAAAGCCTGGGTTCCACACCAAAACCCAGAGAAGCTATGAGAGCTAATAAACAGGTTCAGTGACATTATAGGATAACAAACCGACACACAGAAACTCCAGAGCACTTCTACACACTAACAATAAACAAGCTAATAAGGAAATCAAGAAAACAATGCCACTTACAAGAGCATAAAAAACCACTTAAGGATTAAACCAAGGAGGTAAAAGGTGTAGGCTGAAAATGAAAAAACACGGCTGAAAGAAATGCAGGAAGACACCAAAGCGGGGAGACCTTTTGTGTCCGCCTCCGCGGGGCAGTGGAATGCCAACCTTGTTGGGCATGACCGCCAGGCAGCAGGCGCCCGTGGGGGCGAGGGCGGGACTACAGCCCCCACAATACCTCCGGGGGGTGGGGTGGCGGAAGCCACGGCGTTTGCGGCCAGTGGCCTAGGCCAGGGCCAATCACGGTTCGGCGGCGGCGCTGGGCACGACGGGTCTTGTAGTGGGACCTGGAGGAGGGACGAAGGCCCCCACAATACTCGCGGAGGCGGTGACGGAGGCAATGGCGTTAGAAAGGACCCGGCTCAGTGCGGCCGCAGGCCAATCACGGCCGAGCCCGGCGGCGCGGGGCACGACGGGCCTTGTAGTCGGTGCGGGAGGGACTACGGCCCCCACAGTGCTTCGCGCGGCACGGAGCGCACCGCGGCTGCGCGGCGGCGGCCGGGGCGCCGTCGGGCTGGGCGGCGGCGGTGGCTGTGGTGGAGGCGGCGACGACGGCGGCGGCGGACGGGAACCCGGCCTGGAACCTCGCTGAGAGCAGCGATAGCCGGCCGCTGGCCACCATGTCGGCGCCGTCGGAGGAGGAGGAGTACGCGCGGCTGGTGATGGAGGCGCAGCCCGAGTGGCTGCGCGCCGAGGTGAAGCGGCTGTCGCACGAGCTGGCCGAGACCACGCGCGAGAAGATCCAGGCGGCCGAGTACGGGCTGGCGGTGCTGGAGGAGAAGCACCAGCTCAAGCTGCAGTTCGAGGAGCTGGAGGTGGACTACGAGGCCATCCGCGGCGAGATGGAGCAGCTCAAGGAGGTGAGGAGCGGGGGCGGCGCCGCGCCCCGGCCGACCCCAGACCCCTGGCTGGCAGAGCTCCCGCAGCTCTTCGGCCCGGCCGGGCCAGCACTGCGGCGCCTGGGGTCAGGGTGTCCGGTCCGCTAGGCAGTGCTGCAGTGGCCCGCACGTGTGGACGGCGCGCATGCGAGAGTTCGGGCCTCTGCGGGCAGGGTCTGCGGGTGGGGCCATGTAGCCAGCCTGTTTGCTTCTGGCTGCAGGCCTCGGGCGGGTGGGATGGTGTCCTCTGCGGCGTTTGTCTTCCTGGGTTGGGGGATGGGAGCGTGGGATGGATGCAGGTAGCTGGCTGGGAGAGGCCAGGCCTGGGTCCCCGTCGCCTCCAGACAGGCTGGTTCTCCTCTCCTCCGTGAGCGCCCTGAGGCCGGAAAAGGGCCGCGACAAGGGCTTGCCTTGAATGTGGTCATGTACCATACCTGGCATCCCCCTTGTCTCTCCTCGGCTCAGCTCCGCAACTGCCCCCCTCATCACTTCTCTGGGATGCAGTACTTCTCCCGCCTACTTCCTGTCTTGGCTGCCTTGGCCGCTGTCCCAGGGTCTGGTGACAGGTCTGTGGGTGTTTGTCACCGAAAGAGCCTTGTGTCTCCTGTGATTTTTGCCCCCAGATGAGGTGGGAGCCCCCAGGGTGCCTTCTGGCCCTCCCGAGAGCTGGGCAGGCCTTCCTTGAGGCAGTTCTGGGTGACTTAAACAGCGTTTCTCTTCAGGTCTCCCTGACTGTTCGGCCCTGTTGTGGGGGTGGGCAGGAAGAAGTTGCTTTCTGGGGGGAACATCCAGGTTTGGATCCAGGCCCAGCTCTTTGCTGGAGCTGTGATTGTGGGATGGAGCCCTAGCCTTTCCTTCTGCAGCATTGCCCACCCAGAAGAGAGTGGTCTGAGAATTGTGTATTTGAAAAGGCCGTGCATGGTCAGATGTTGGCCTCTTGTTTTTTTCTAACAGTGTGCTGTTCCCCACCGGACACTTCCCCTTATCCAGTTGGGCTGTTGGCCCTTGGTCTTGGGATCCACCATGCTTGCTGCCTTCCTGACTGCCTACCTCCCTGCATGTCTGCTCCCAGTGGCCTCGGAGGTGCCTGTAATGTTCAGAGCCTCCCTGCCTCACTGGGGACACTAGTAGGGTCCTCTTCTGATAGTGAGGAGGAGAGAATGTGTTAGTCCTCACAGGCGCTTAGATCTGTGCTAGGCAAAGCAGGTGTTTGGTTGGTATCGGTAAACTGACCAACGGCGGTGGTGGGGGCAGGTGGCAGCACATCAGACCTGTGGTCCTATCATCTGCCAGCAAGTATTGGCGCCCCCTTGGAGCCAAGATTGGCTGGCATGTGGCCCCTCCCCCAAAGGCCCCATGTTCATATGTGGGGTGAGGGGATGCACCAGTGGAGGGAGGCAGGGGGCGGTGAGAATACAGAGCAGGAGCGCCTTTGGCCCCCTTCTGGTCTCTGGTCCCCCCCCTCCCCTAGCTTGCTGGGCACCTCCCCACCCCCCACCCCATCAGCAAGCACAGTCCCTTTCTGTGTTTACAAGCTCACATTCATGTCCACTTTAGGAACGCACCAGAAGGGACCGTAGCAGAAAGAACCAGTCCCCACTTAGAGGCCATTCAGTTGTCAGCTCTTCACTGTCACAGACACAGATGTTTTGACCAGTGCAAGAATTTTGGCTCCGTTTTGTGGGGTGTGTCTGGAGGGTGGATCCCGAGGGAAATCAGGAGAATGGTGTGTCAGTCCCCACACGTGTTCTTTAAGTGCCCGCTTACTTAGTTTGATGTCACCTCCCAGCTCCTGCAGGAACCTGCCCCTTAGCCTTGGACGCAGGGCTCTACGGTCCTGAACGCTGGCTCCTCCCACTGTAGGTGTGGTGAGAACAGTCGAGCTGAAGCCGGAGGAAGGAGCGTCGGAGCCTCGCTGTGGGGAGTTGCACCGGGCCCCCTCACACCCAGGCCGGCCCAGGCTCTCCTCAGCCTCGTTCACCATAATTGGGGTCTTATTTGGATATGTTAACTCTTACTTTAAAAATCAAGATTTAAGGTGACAAATTTTGTTGGGTCTTTTTTTTTCTTTAGTAGAGAGATGAGCCATTTTTGTTCTTTTAAGACTTAGTTTCTCAAACTAGAGTTGGTTCAGTTGCTGACAAACTGTATTTCAGACAGGGTGTTTGTGCTGCTGTGCCCAGCCTTTGTAGACGGTCCTGTTTGTGAGGGAGGGAAGCTGGCTGGTCACAGGTGAGTGGCTGTGTACCCAGGCCCAGGGCGAGTGGGCCGCTGTTTTTAAGGGCCCAGTCCATCCCAAGTCCCACAGTGTCCCCTCCCTGCTCTGTGCGGAAGAGAATCGGTTGGCCTTTGGTCAGGCGTGTGGTGCTTCCTGTCCTGAGTGGCCAGGTCCTCATCTTACTCTGTACCGTCTGCTGCATCTGCAGGTCTGGTGGGGGGTAGACATGCTGAGTGGGAGCTCCTGCCTGCTGGGCTCCAGCAGGTGCCCTGAGTGGGTGGTCCTTGGCCTCAGGGAGTGGGGCCTGGAGGGCGTGCCTCAGGCGGGCACCGGGGTCCAAGTGTAGCGTCAGTGTCCTTGTTGCCTTGGGCGCAGCCTCGAGCTCTTATTGGCGCAGCGTACTTAGGTCCTGGGAAGCAGCAGACGGAATTTGGCGGGCTGTGGTGTGTCAGGGGCTGGGCACAGTGCCCGGCACCCAGTAAGTGCTTACTTAGTGTTTGCTAGCTAGTGTCGTCAGCTCCTTCCCTCCACCTCCCTCAGGCCTGGCTCCCCTCCCCGCCGTCCCCACAGTCCCCACAGTCCCCTGGACTGGGTGGCAGAGCCTGCGATCTGGGCCCCCGGCTGGGCCTGGTTCACACTGCACTACTGCACTGTGTCTTGGCTGCCTGTGCTGCTCTCGCCCACCCTGCCTCTCCCGTCTCCTGGAAGGCCTGTGAGCCTGCCCGGCTGCCCTTCTGGGCCTGGGTACCTCTGGCTGCTGCGTCCCCTCTGAACTTGCCTGAGTCCGGTTCTCAGCGCTGGAGTGTCTGGTCCTGCCGGGCCTAAAGGGCCAGGGCAGAGCTAGTGGGGCGCTGCTCTGTCTCCTACACTCAGGCCTTCCCTCCCTCCCTCCCTCTCCTAGCCTCCTCTCCCCGTGGATGGGGAAACTGAGGTATGGATGAGTGGGGGTGACCACTCTGAACAGGGTCCTCAGGCACTGGGTCCCCTCAGGGTCTTTGCGTAGAAGTTAGAGCTGTGAGTCATTTTAGTCCCACAGAGCAGGGTGCTGTGAAGGCCTCCCCGTGCCCCACTGACTCCTACAGGTCCCACACCCACCCTTGGGGTCACTACCTTGTTATGTCCATCCTACAGCTGGGGAAACTGAGGCACAGAGAAGCTGAACTGTGCTCAAGGCACTGAGCCTGTGTGGCCTGCCGCTGTTCCTGCTGGGGGAGTGGGGTTGGAGGCCTCCTCAAGTGTTTGCTTGGGGGTGGGAAGAGCCTTGACTTGGCTAAAGCCTGTGGGGATTCTCCTAGAAGATGGAGCAGAGTCCTTGGGGCTGAAACCCCCCCAGGGGACTGCACGTTCTGGGCTGCTGTGTGGTGGCCGTTCTGCCGTGGGTGGGAAGGGGCCTGTCTTGGGGCCGAAGGTGGGGTGTGGTGGGCCCTGGGGGCACAGAGGTGGCCATGCACCCCAGGTCTTGACAGTCGAGGGAGGCAGCTGCAGGGGAGCAAGGGCGGTGACCAGCTGGCTCCCCGTGGCTGCACTGCTGGCTGCTCCCCGCTCCACCGCCTGGGGACTGTGTGTCAGGCGGGGCTCGCAAAGCGATCCTGAGGGCTTTTAGTTAGAAATGCCAGAGTCTCTGGCGTTGCCCCCGTGGCCCCTCCTGCCCTGTCCGCGGTGACTGGCTGTGACTGAGCTGCTTCCTGAGATGAGGGTACAGCCCCGGCAGGGAAGGGGGTGCTGCCCGTGCCTTCCAGGGCCGCGGTCTCCACACTGGCTCTGAGGGAGAGGGTGGGCCCCGCCTGGCCCTGGATGAGCGGCTCTGGCTGTCAGGGTCAGGGCGGGGAACTGCTGCTGGGGGCGGGGGGGGGGGCAGTACCTCTGGAGCATGCGGACCGGCGGTGGTTAGAGTGAGCAGTGGCCAGGGCCACACGGACTCCTGCTGGACTTCCCTTTCACCTCAGGGCCCCTGGCCCGTCCTTGGGGGGGAGGAGATCAGTTTCCCCTGTCAGCGAGGGGCAGCCGCCCGCAGTCACAGTTGTCCACAGCGGTGTGCTGGGTGACATGCCACTGCACACGTGGGGGATATAGAGAGATTGGCTGCTTCTGAGCCAGTGAGGAGAGGCTGGCAGGTGGGCAGGGGCTGGACAGGGCCCTGCAGGCTGTGACAGGCAAGGCCCTCCGGGGCCCAGAGCCCGCCCCCACAGCAGGAAGACCGAGAGCTGGGGTTGCAGGGTCACGGGGTCGCAGGGCCGTCGGGCTCAGGCAGGTAATAATATTGAGGAGGTCTGGGGCCTGGTTTCCTTTTTAGAGGTTAGTATGTTTTAAAAATCATATGTCTGTTAGAGAAGCGTCAGCAGGTAGCCGTAAGCAGTGTGTGTGCGGGGATTCAGGAGGTGATTGATGGCGAGCATGGGGAAAGGCACGCTATTTCTATTTGCCAGATGTTTTCTTCCCATGGACGTGGGGCAGCTGTACAAGCTGCTCTGAAAAGCAGGAAACAGCAGCTGTAACAGCTTCCAAAGAGACACAGTTCAGTGTCATGGTCTGGGTTGCAGAAGAGCAGGGGTTTTTTTTGTTTTTTGTTTTGTTTTGTTTTTTAAAGATTTTATTTATTTATTTGACAGAGGGAGATCACAAGTAGACAGAGAGGCAGGCAGAGAGAGAGAGAGAGAGAGAGGGAAGCAGGCTCCCTGCTGAGCAGAGAGCCCAATGCGGGACTCGATCCCAGGACCCTGAGATCATGACCTGAGCCGAAGGCAGCGGCTTAACCCACTGAGCC